CCAGCTTCCCTCGGGGAGGAGGGCGATGAAGGAAGCGGGCGTGTCCCTGGGATGCGTGTTCCCAACACGCCTGGGAAGCAAGTACACGTCCTGTCTGCTCTGAGCCATGAAAACGCAGAGCGTGGCACCACGTGCGTCTCGGGCCTTCTGTGCCCCGGCAGCCAGGAACCGGCTCCTGGCGGCCCCGTGAGCACCTCAGCACGGATCAGAGAGCCCGGTGGGCGCTGCCGGGGGGAGGGCGCTGGCCAGAGGAACCGGCCCCGACCCCCGGCCCCTAACCGCTCCCCCGCCCCGTGTCCCCCCGAGAGCACCTCTGGTTCCGACACAGCAGGGCAGCCCGTCCCACCTCAGGCCGCTCCTCTCACAGCCGCTGCCGTGTCCCCGCAGGTGAACAGCGAGAACGTGGTGAAGGTCGGGCACCGGCAGGTGGTGAACATGATCCGCCAGGGAGGCAATCACCTGGTCCTCAAGGTGGTCACGGTCACCAGGAGCCTCGACCCCGACGACACCACCAGGAAGAAAGGTGGGTGCCCTCCGCGCCTCCCCTGCCGTCACCCCGAGAGCCCGGCCGCGGGAGGGGGCACCTGCAGCCGTGTCCCACCTGCTCCGGGAGCCGGCAGAGCGGCCGGGAGGGAGGATAGGTGACTGTGGAGCTGGCTGGGGCAGTGGTGGCCTGGGCTCCTGTCCAACCTACTGTCCCCGGGGCCCGCTGTTTGCAGAGCTGGTTGCCCCCCCGGGACTCGGGCCCACCCCTTTCCCGAGGGAGGCGGCAGGGGGAGCCCCAGGTCCCTGGCTGGGAAGGAGCTGGAGACACCTGGTCCTGCCCACAGCCCTGCCCTTCCCGCCACCCCACTGAGAGCCTGGGCTGAGGGAACTGCCTCACAGCAGGGAGGGCTGCCTGGAGGCGGCGTCTGCAGGGGTGAGGGGGTAAGGAGAGGTGCTTGGGGGGCGCCAGGGGGCCAGCTCCCAGGCTTTCCTCAAAAGGAGGCTGGGAGGGGGCATGGGCGCCCCTGAGGCCCGTCCCTGCGGAGGAACGAGGAGAACCCCTAGCCTGTCGAGCCTTCCCGGCTGGCAGGGGCAGCCAAGCGCACAGGCTACAGAGCCTCCAGGCCCCCTTAGTCACCGGCGGGCACAGCACCTCCCATCCCAGCTGGGCCGCCGGGCCCACACCGACAGGAGGGC